ATGAGTTTTGAATGAAGAAAGCGGGCGGGAAGAGGAGGCCATTCAAGACGAGCCAAAATATAACATCAGCACTATCATCATAGTTTCTGGAAACCCATCTCGCAGCTTTATGCTGAATGGTGTCCAATCTAGAGCAGTTCTGAAGTCTATAGGGGCACCAGCTAGGCTGGCGAAGCATATTCTAATATGGGCAGAACCATAGTTTTAAAAGCCAGGGACCGAGTTTTGGAGTCAGCAAAGCTAAGATTACGCCGTAACATGCCGAAAGATCGGGACGCTTTCTTACAAATATGTACGGACTATATAATATATAATATATATAATATAATATAACCTTAATTAATTACGTCATGTTATTTAAATGTTATTATTGTTAATATAATTCTGTCAGATATTGTGCCACGTTTCCACTACGTATAGGAACGTACGTGTCCGTAAAATATACATTCGTGGAGATCAGCTAGAGACCATGACGATTGCATCAGATCCAGTGTACGTCCTATCAACATTGATAGTAAAACTGATTGAAATACTGGAATATTAATCACAAATGTCTTCTACCATCGAGGTTTCTTTAATAATACACATATGAATTGATACAATATTGCTAAACAAATGTTAGAAAAATTTACAAAAACAGTCTGGTATCCACGCCATTTGTTTTAAACAAAAGGACAGTGCTCTTGATTTGAATTATTTTTGAAACGAAATGCATGAAGTGCTTCTAAGTTCTAGGTATATAGATGCCTAAACTAGAAGAAGGCTATTATAATAGATAAGGATCAAGACTAAACGGTGAATGCCTTCCTGACAGTATTACCTACATGTTGATTGGTAAGTTATTACAGATTAGATCTGCTGATTTTTGACATACTGGAAATGTACGTACTGTAGCGTAGGCCTACTGACTGTAGTCTCAGTCTGTAGTGTAGCCTACAGTACATCACATGATTAATACTCGCAGCTAGGGCCTGCATACCTCCCAACTCCCTTGTTTGATACAAATGTAGTTAATTTTTGTAATTAAATTTTAAGTAGTGTTAGCGTTAGGATTAGGGTTACTAGTCCTATAATATAGGGTCACAATGCACCATAAAAGTTTTATTAAAACAGGAGTTTCAGGCACGTGATTTGTATCATCCAATGGGATTTGGGAGGTATGCAGGCCCTAGCTGCGAGTTACATAATTGCATTGATTCATTGTTTGGCTCTAGAGCCATACGTAGGCTTAGCTCTAGTAGTAGTATACACATATACACATATACACATATACACGTATAATATATACATACACACATATAATACACACATATACACGTATAATATACACATACACACATATGCACATATACACGTATAGTATACACATACACACATATACACATATACACATATAATTCGCACGTACACTTACCTAGCGTCCACGCCGCCACCGCCGCTACCAAGCAGACGATGTTAAGACGGTACCACACACCTCTCATGACTAACTTCTCACACACCTGTGTCGCTGCAGGGGCACGGAGGTAGGGAGGGATAGAGAGAGCGAGAGCGCGTGAGTTAGTGACGGAGGGAGAGAGAGAGTCCGAGAGACACAGGCACAGAGAGAGAGAGAGAGGCACACACACAGACGGAGAGAGACAGAGAGACAGAGAGAGACAGACAGAAAGGGAGAGAGAAGCACACAGAGACGGAGAGAGACAGCGAGACAGACGCGCTGCTACTACGACTACTGCTACTGCTACTGCTGATGCTGCTACTGCTACTACTAGCGCATTCCTACCAACATCTGCGCATGTGACGTGACGTCACTGGTCGCCTGGTGATAGATACCACGTCGTGGGGCGCTCTAACGGGGAGGGGTTAAGATCCGTGTGCGAGGCGAGGCGACGCGAGACATCTACCTCTCTCGCTCTCTCTCTCTCTTTCTCTCTCTCTCTCTCTCGCTCTCTATCGCTCTCTCTCTCGCTCTCTATCGCTCTCTCTCTTTTTCTCTCTCTCTTTCTCTGGTCCCTAGAGACGTCCCAGGCCTCCCCCTTCACACACGCGGCGTAGTGGCAGTGTACCTGCGTCTCGTAGGGACGGTCCATGCCTCCCCTTCACACACGAGGTAGTGGCAGTGTATCTACGTCCTCTAGAGACAGTCCAGGCATCCCCTTCACACACGCGAGGTAGTGGCAGTGGATCTACGTCTCCTAAAGACTGTCCAGGCCTCCCCTTCACACACGCGGAGTAGTGGTAGTGTATCTACGTTCCGTAGAGACGGTCCAGGCCTCCCCTTCACACACGCAAGGTAGTGGCAGTGTATCTACGTCCCCTAGAGACGGTCCAGGCCTCCACTTCACACACGCGGGGTAGTGGCAGTAGATCTACGTCTCCTAGAGACGGTCCAGGCCTCCTCCTTCACACACGCGGGGTAGTGGCAGTGTATCTACGTCTACTAGAGACTGTCCAGGCCTCCCACTTCACACACGCGGGGTAGTGGCAGTGTATCTACGTCCCCTAGAGACGGTCCAGGCCTCCCACTTCACACACGCGGGGTAGTGGCAGTGTATCTACGTCCCCTAGAGACGGCCCAGGCCTCCCCTTCACACACACGGGGTAGTGGCAGTGTATCTACGTCCCATAGAGACGGTCCAGGCCTCCCACTTCACACACGTTGGGTAGTAGCAGTGTATCTACGTCCCATAGAGACGGTCCAGGTCTCCCACTTCACACACGTGGGGTAGTGGCAGTGTATCTACGTCCCATAGAGACGGTTCAGGCCTCCCTCTTCACACACGTGGGGTAGTGGCAGTGGATCTACGTCCACTAGAGACGGTTCAGGCCTCCCTCTT